TTTTAGGTGGCAAAGCAACATTGTTTAGAGGAGCGCAAACTTGATCAACAGGATCATATGAGAAGAATTATTTCTTTCCCGTACAATTGGCGCCGTCTGTGGGAAATTCACAAAGAGCAAAACCTCTTTGATCAAGTTTTCCTCTCTAGTTGAAAGCAATGGCGCACAATGAAAACTTGCCGCAATCTGCTATAGATGGGCAAACTCCGGAAAGGGGTAAGAGGCGCGAAGGTTTACCTTCTATCCCACCCATGGCGGAGAGATAAAAAGCAAAGGGGTGGCAACAAAAGAGTGGAGTAGAGGCAACACACAATCACAAACTAAAAGTAGAAGCCTCAGGTCGAGTGATACACAATCAAAGACTTCCAGGACACGCTACTTCAGACCTGAGAGAAAGAAGACTGAAAGGGCTCGAATGAGAGAAGACACTCAGTCTCGTGACCCCTACAGAATCTCCACACTACAACGATTGGCTCCTAGAACACATAGGAGTGTCGAGGTTGAACCACACCTTGCCTATGAACCAGCAGACAAAGCATTAGCAAGGTTGCAGAGCTCACCGTTCATCCCGACAATTGATGACGCACCATTACCCTTAGGCTTCCATCAGCCTAAACTCATAACTTATGAGGGGGAGTCAGACCCCTACATACACTTAAGCCACTTTCGCCAAGTTATGGCCGTGTATCGACGAAACGAGCCCTTAATGTGTATCATGTTTCCGTTTAGCTTTGGCGACATGGGTTTAGCATGGTTTGAAAGGTTACCAGAAGGTAGTATAGCCTCGTGGGCGCAACTAACGGAGGCATTTGTAACCAGATTCAGAACAAACACCAAGACGCCAGTGGAGACTGACCAGCTTCTCTCCATCAGCATGGACGAGAAGGAAACGTTGAAGTCTTACGACAATCGGTATTGGGAGACCTTCAACCAAGTAACAGAATGTCCTATAAACCTAGCTATTGCACAGTACAAGCAAGGTCTGTTAGTGGGTCATAAATTGAGGGATTCAATAATAATGACGCCACCTCTTACTATGGAAGCCCTGATGGAGCGAGTGCACCAGCACATCTTGGTAGAGGAAGATGGGATGCACACCAAGGTAGAGTTCGATACAAACAGCGATATCAAACAGAACACCTTCGACAAAAGTTAGCGCGGTTGGCAAGAAGAACTAACCAAGCGCAAAAGTCTTTTCCCGACTGGGGGGCAACCAAGAAGCTTGGCGTGAATGGCCAAGCATTTACCTCTCCTAAGCCCAGGATAAGGATCCAGGCTGCAGGACGTTTGGTCGGAATAACCAAACACTTTACTTTAGGTTGGCTGGAAAAACCAATCTAAAGGTTGGCTGGAAAAACCAACACCCTTCCTAAGCCTAGGATAAGGATTCAGGCTGCAGGACGTTTGGTGGGAATAACCAAACACTTTACTTTAGGTTGGCTGGAAAAACCAATCTAAATGTTGGCTGGAAAAACCAACACCCTTCCTAAGCCCAGGATAAGGATCCAGGCTGCAGGACGTTTGGTCGAAATAACCAAACACTTTACTTTAGGTTGGCTGGAAAAACCAATCTAGAGGGTTGGCTAGATTAAACCAACACTTGGTACTCTTTAGCTGAAGTAAGGATATCGGCTAAAGAGTGGTTGGCTGGATTAAACCAACTCTTGGTACTCTTTAGCCGAAGTAACGACACGGGCTAAAGAGTGGTTGGCTGGATTAAACCAACACTTGGTACTCTTTACTTCGGCTAAAGAGTAGTTGGCTGGATTAAACCAACTCTTAGCACTCTCCAGTCGAAGTAAGGACATCGGCTAAAGAGTGGTTGGCTGGATTAAACCAACTCTTGGTACTCTTTAGCCGAAGTAAGGACATCGGCTAAAGAGTGGTTGGTTGGATTAAACCAACTCTTGGTACTCTTTAGTCGAAGTAAGGATATCGGCTAAAGAGTGATTGGCTAGATTAAACCAACACTTGGTACTCTTTAGCCGAAGTAAGGATATTGGCTAAAGAGTGATTGGCTGGAAAAACCAACACTTACTTCTCCTAAGCTGAGATAAGGATCTAGATCGCAGGAAGTTGGCAAGTATGTTCAACAAAATTTCTAAAACTCTTTGGCCGGGGTGATGGTTACCTCGGCCAAAGCAGGTTGGCAGGTTTGACCAACAATTTTTTTAGAACTCTTTGACCGGGATGATAATGACCTCGGCCAAAACAGGTTGGCAAGGTTCGTATAAACTGCGTCAGTCTGTTCGGCAAGACACAGAAAGAACGACTCGACGTATACAAACTCGAAGGATACATACGTTAAAGGCAAAAAATCAGGGCTATTCAAATTTTTGGCATGACGATGGTAACAAGGAGAACAAGGATATTGGGGGCACGCCATGTATCCTGGGAATAACGTCGTACCAGATTAGTGGAAGGACATGCTAAGCAACTGACAAGGCTTATTGGGACCGAACAAGCCGTAAAACCGAATAACTTCTTAGCTCAGCTGGAGGAAAAATAATCTCAATCATGCTACGCAGATGGAATTAAGGGGCAATTGAGAGGGTAATTTGTAAACAAATTGGGCCGAGCTAGGAAGAATCTTCTTTGGGAGTTGGATCGCGTAATGGATCGAGATAAGGGCTGGTGTAGCTCGGTCTTAGGCCAAGAAGACATCTCATATTTTGGGTTTGGGCCGAACTATGGACCGAGGTATCGGTATAAAGAGGACCGAGCTAAACGATAGCTCTGCAGGGCGTCAACTCAAAGTCAAGACTGGTAGTAGTGCTTAAAGTATCACAGAGCCGAAGTAACTTGGCTGACCGCAATGTTAGCCGAGGTAAAGATGTCAGTCGAAATAAGTGGGCCTGGTGGTTAGTCGAGGTATTGGTGAGAAAGGATGTCGGGCTTGGTATAGCTCGGCCGATCTTGGTATAACTCGGCTGGGCGCCATCTACATCATTACTTAAGCGTGTGACCGAGATAACTTAGCTCGGTGTGGTTGCAGCAGCTTATTAAAAGGAGGTAGCATCAATGGCGAGGGCCGAGCTGTGTATAGCTCGGCAGGGTGGCATCCATTAGATCGGCTTTCGATCACACGGTCCGAAGGGCAGGGGACCGAGATAAATCAGTTTGGGCAGGAATGTATAACCGAGGTAAAAGGTTCAGCCATCTCACTTGGCTTGCAGTGATGAGACTCCTAGTCTGACTCTACTAAGGAGAGTATAGTCCTACTAGGATTGTGCAAAACCATCTCACTTGGTTGGTAGTGAGTAGGGTGTGTGATTCCTAGGAGGACTCTCATAGGGAGAGTTGGAATCCAACTAGGATTGTGCCAAAGTAAAGTCTATAAAAACTCATGACCAGGCCTTTGTACAGGTATCCCAATTCTTACTCTAGAATACACAGAGCTTATTGTCTAGTTGCTGACTTAGGCATCGGAGGGGTTTCCGGCACACACCCGCCGGTTAGCTCACGTTTGTGTTTTCAGGTGACAAAGCAACATTGTTTAGAGGAGCGCAAACTTGATCAATAGGATCATACGAGAAGAATTATTTCTTTCCCGTACATTTATCAAAACGACAATCAACAAACATATGCATAAAATAATAATTGCCTAACCGTTATATATTTAACAAAAAAAATATAATTAGGATTAAAATATTATTATAAAAAATTTAAACATAACTTGTCATGAAAATGATGTAATAATGACACTTTCTTCATCAACAATCAACTTAGTGAGGGTTTTTTTTTTTTGGGTAAGTGATAGAACTACATAACAACCACGTCATTTTGTATTGATTTTATGTATATTGTGTCTGAGATATTAATTGATCACATTCAAAAATAATAATGCTATACATAACAATAGTAAGACCCAAATTAATAAATGCATGTGAGACATTACGTTTATGTTTAGTGATAAAAAAAAATTAAAAACATTTCAGTTTATAAATAACATTTAAAAAAAATTCAAAATTCTTGAAAGCTATATCTAATTACGAGCAAGTGGAAATTACCACCCTAGTTCACAGGAAATTATAATACTTAATTAATATTTTGTGGTTTCCTTATCAATTAAGAATAAGACTTTGAATGAATTTCTTTTATGTTACCGTGTAACTTCGTGGTTGATTTTATGTATATAAAAAAGGATTTAGCTTCATAACTTGTCATGAAAATGATGTAAGCGATAGAACTACATAACAACCAGGTCATTTTGTATTGATTTTCTGCATATCGTGTCTGAGATATTAATTGATCACATTTAAAAGTAATAATGCTATACATAACGAGACCCAAATTAATAAATGCATGTGAGACATTACTTTTATGTTTAGTGATAAAAAAATTGGATACTTTTTCATAAATTCCTGTTCACCTACTTATGTTCTTTGTAGTTTACATTATTTTCTTATATTCTAATAAATCCTATGAATGACATAGTTACTAAAATATCCCTAATAATATTTACATTTATAGTGTGGATGTTCGGTGATGTGAATGTTCACATGTCAATGTGAATGTTCACATTGTAAAATATGAATGTTTACATCACCAAATTGCTAACCATTCAAAAACTATTTGTAAGGGTAGAAATGTCTATAAAATACTTTAAATATGAGAATTATGATTTGGTAGATCAAATGTTTAAATAATAGGAGTTATTAAAATACAAGAATATCTTATGGACTAACTGGGATACAAACATTTGAAAAAAGAGTTTCTAATAAATCTCCCTAAAAAAATTTAAAAACATTTCAGTTTATATATAACATTAGTTAATTACGAGCAAGGGGAAATTACCACCCCAGTTCACAGGAAATTATAATACTTTATCAATATTTTGTGGTTTTCTTATCAATTAAGAATAAGTCTTTTATTCACCCAAAAAACAGAATAAGTCTTTGAATGAGTTTCTTTTATGTTTCCGTGTAACTTCGTGGTTGATTTTATGTATATAAAAAAGGCTTTGGCTTCATATATTGCACTATGCTATTCGTACACCAATCTAGAGCAACGTTTGTTAGAGTAAAAGTTTCTTCTTTAACTTTGTGATCATCAATATTAGGCCAAGTTTGTCATCTCCCCAATAATATTTATGCCATATATTTATTGACATATTATTCTATACCAAAACAAATTTGATACGCACATTAATTTTGAATTATACATATTTTTTTTTTGGTATAATTTTATTTTTCTCACAATGTAATCTAATTGTTTTCATTTTTTTTTTTTTTTTTTTTTTGTGTTCAGCACTGGTGATTTATTCAATCTCCAATATACAGAAGGCTAGAATTTTTTTTTTTTTTTTTATATTTTTGGTAATAAAAAGTTTAGAAGTTAAAGAAAAGATCAAGAAAAGTTCTACTATTTTTTTGGAGGAATAGTTTTTCAGAGACCCCAAGGAGAGGAGGAAGCAAGACAGAAGAAAAAGCATATACCACAAAGGAGTATTCAATGGCAGCTACAAAGACTTTTGTCCTCAAACTGACCATGCAGTGCCAATGCCAAGGATGTCAGAGAAAGCTCAAGAATCTATTGCAGAAAATTGATGGGGTACACTCAACTTCCATAGATCCCAACCAAGGGATGGTCACCATTACAGGTACTGTAGACCCACAAAGAGTCGTAAACAACCTTGAAAAGCAATACAGAACAGAAGTCTTGTTGTTCTCGGAACAAAGCCCACAAATGGACAATCAACACAACAACAACATGCAAATCACTGTACAACCACAATCACAAAAACCAGTTGTTGAAGAGTTTGATGACCAAAACTTGGTGGCTCAAATGCATCAATTTGGTGGAATTCGAGGATTGAAACATGCGGAGGTGACCTATTCCAAGACTACAAAGTTCACATTCAATGATAACAAAGATGATGAGCTGCAGCATGGTGGTGGTGTAAACAATTTATACAGCAGTGGGAGCTTTCCACCACCACCGGAGCTGCCGCCACAGGAATCCGATTATGGTCCATCGGCACCTCCATCTGTATACGGATATCCTTACACATTTGAGGAAAATCCGAACAGATGCACATTGAATGCACTTCTTCTTTCGCTTAATTTGGGTTTTGCAATTTTTTTATTCTTTTTTTTCAGGCAGTTTTAAGTTCTGAAAATTTGTGCTTTGTAAATTGTTGTTCTCTCCATTTTTCTTTTTTAATGACCTTCATCTGCAAATGGGTATTATTCCCTTGCATATGTTTAAGTTTTGTTTTTGTTTTTTTTGTGGATTCCACTTTGAAAGTTACGTTGTAATAATAACGCTCTTCGTTGTATTAAATTATTTATTTTTTCTCATTATGGTTATTTCCTATGTTAGTATTGGATTGTAGATTTGTGTTATTGGATTATGGTTCTCATAATATTTGTAGAGATATCTTACCGAGTGATAAAAAATAAATTAAAAGAAGTTCTTCCACAACTTGATCAATTCTTTATTTCAAAGTGGTATCTTCGTGTAAGAAAATTCTGAGTCAGTTTTGTTTTGTACATCTTTCTTTTCCTTTTTAATAATTCTCATTCGCTACAATTTATTGGGATTACGTATAGAGATTTTTTTTTTTTTTTAAATTTAATTTTAAGAATATGTGTCAATGTGGTTACTGCAACTTACTGTTTACAATTTACAAAACAAAAATAATTTAAATAAATTAAAAATTAATTATTTAGAAGTTAAGGAAGAAATAGTTTTAACTTTAAAGTCATACATTATCAATTTTATGTGATTTATTTTTATATATTCTAAGTAATACAACAATTTATTTTGTGCTTTTAATTCACACAAAATGCACCAGTTGTCTTTGATTTATTCATGTATATATTAAGTCCGCAAACAAAATGGTTAGCACGGAACCAAGAATTCATTTGCGGGGGGCCAAGACATAAATAATTTTTTTTATATGAATTGATATAAATTACTATTTTTTTGAATTGAAAAAGTAAACTAAAATTTAATATTAAATTAGTACATAAAAAATAAAACCATATATTTAGTAAATTTAATATATGAATAAAAGCAAAGTCATGTATTAAAAAATTATTTATACAAATCAACTCAATCATCTATCAAAGTAGAACTCGACGTTCTTTCATACCTCGAAAGTCTTCAATGATTGATTCTGTGGTAAAATTTTCAACAATTTCTTTTTCACTGTACACAAGCAAAGAGTCTGTAAGAAATTCATCTTCCATTTTGTTGCGAAGTGTACTTTTGACAATTTTCATGGCTAAAAATGATTGCTTCGTAGTTTGCAGTAGAAACTGAAAGAGTAAGAACAAATGTAATCACTCTATAAACAAGTTGATAGATCGTAGATTTGTTTGTCCTTACCAATCACTGACACAATTCAAAAATAGTAGACAATTTTTTGTAATATGCATGCTGAACTACATTATGCTCGTAATGGTGAAGTTGCATTCTCAACTGTATTTTCTCTTGATCTTTGAAGTCTTGCAGATAAAACTTTTCTACTAACCGACAAATATCATTGATTCTAAAAGTTTCAGACACATCTTAAGGATCTAGAGCTGAGCTAAGATTAAGCAACTCTACTGTATGTTCACTGAATCGTCCATTTAATTCTTGTAGTTGAGAATCTATTGCAGCATAAAAAATATCTACCCGATAATAATGCTCAACTGTAAAGTTATCTTGATGATCACGAGCTCGACCTCTTCTCCTAATATAAGGAGCATTCATATTTGGGACATCTATGTTACGTACCTCGCAAAATTATTGCACATCGGCTAGTAAAACATCCCATTTGTCATCTCTAAACTTTTGCAGAAGTGCCTTGGTAGATGAAATTAGATTCATAGCATTTAAGATGTCTTGAGATCGGCATCGCAAAGCTTGACAAAGTAAGTCAGTGATCTCCAACATTTCTTTCATGAGATGCAAAATAAAGACAAATTTAAATGAAGTCAATGTTTCATAAGTTGAGTCAACATCTCCTCGTTGGGCAGAAGTCGTTCTTTCATTAATGATGTTAAGAAGAACTTCACATGTTGGACTGAATATTTTTATTAAGCTTGAAGCTGACTTGAAGTGAGAACTTCAACGAGTATCTCCAGTTCGTTGTAAAGTGCCAATCTGGTTAAGCCGCTTTCCAGTCTCGAGCTCATCAATGTCAATCATATGTTCAATTTCAGCAGCTTGCGCAACTTTCAATTCATTATTGCGCTTGCATGAGGCACCAACAATATTGACAACAAAAGTTAATTTAGGAAAAAATTTATGAATTGGGATAACATCTTTCGATGCTGCCACTAAAGCCAACTACAAACGATGTACAAAACAATAAATATAATAAGCATATGGACAATCATTCAAAACTAATGCTTATAATCCTTTCCACTCACCTCGCATATTGCTTGCAACATCGTATCCTTGTCCTCGAAATATTCTGAATATCTAAATTGTGATGAGATAATACATAATATATTTCATCTTTAAGGGTTGATGCAACAGTGTTAGAAACATGAATAAGCCTGTAGACACCCCATTTTTTACCGATCTTGAGACTCAGACGTCACCAGTTGAGCGCTTGGTGATACTGCATATTGCGCTCGTCCAGAAGTTTCAGAGTCTCGGCTGCGGGCCTTGCCTCCGGACTTCCGGACTCTTTTGTGCTTTGCCTCGGTTTGCGAACCAGGCTCGGTTTTCTCTGTTTCTTTTCCTGAGGGGAGGGAGAGGTCCCGTAGACCATCTCTCAGTGGCCGTGGGCTACATTTTGTGGCTGTAGGCCATTTTTCCCATTTCGGAGCCCGGTTTCTGGTTTTTCAGAGCCGTTGGCCGTATGCCTCGGTTCGGGACCGATTAACCACCTCCGTTTGCTCCGGTTTTTGGCATGCATCTTATTTACTCCCTTTTGAGGGACACTGAGGTCTGAGAGACCCACTTCGTGGTCGAATGCCACTTTCGGTGCTTAACAGGTAGTTTTCGGGGCCTCGAATTGCGTGTTCTGGCCCCCGAACATTCGTTTTGCATCGGTTTTCGTTCATTTTTGGCAGGTACCTCTGTTTCATCACCAGGAAGGCCGTAGAAGGGTGGGAGGCCAGCAATTGTTTCAGCAACCAGTTATATTCCTCCGGCGCCCTCCGACGCCCGTTTTTCTCACTTCCAAGCCAATGTTGACCACCCTTGGACCGTTTTCTTGAACTTCTAACCACATATTTGTGTTGTACACACATGGGAGGACACCAAAAGTTGGTGGACGGCCAGTAATTCCACCTGACCCTTTTGAACCCTTCCTAAAAATGGCCTATTCTCTCTCCTGTTTTACAGTTGACAATTTTGAACCACAGGGTTGTGTTGAGGGCACCTGAGAGAACACTAATTTGTGGTGGCCGGCCATTAATTCACCTTGGCCCTTTTGACCCTTGGCCGGCCGGCCACCTGCAGCTCCAAAAGTTGGCCGGCCATGATCCTCAGGGTGTGTACATTCCAGCTGTATACTTTTTCCCCCCCAAAAATCTATATCCGGGGGGGACAACTTTTGGGGGGAAACTTGGGTTGTTTTCCCCCCACTTTTTTCCTGGAAACTTGGCTTGTTTTCCCCCCATTTTTTCCCTCATTTTCTCCCCCTCTTTGGTCTATATACCTGGCCTCCAGCATTGGTCTTGAGGGTTGGAAAATTTCCCTAAGAGTCTCTTGCATTATATCCCTCTCCCTCTCTCATTTCCTTCAAAAAACACCCAAACCCTACCCATTTTCACACCATCACCTAGCACCACTCCACCACTTCCATTTACAGCAGCTTGGAGGTCTTCTCAGAGGCTAGGAGGCAGCAAATTTGGTCCAAGAAGTTACTAAAGATTGGTCTACAAGGGTGAGTTACCATTTCCCTCTTTCTAGCTCATTTTTTTGCAGCATTTCTTAGCCTCTCTTTCTTGTATGGCATTTTGAGTATGTTTGTATGCTGTTTTGGGGGCTCCCATAAACTGTAAGTAGTCATATTTTTGGTCCCTCTTCAGTGTTGTAGAAGGGTCTTTTTCTGTTTAGGCTTTGCATCTACCACTTGCTTCATTGCCTCCCTTGCGGAGCCACTTTTGTATGCTAATTTAGCACAACTTGTGCTCACTGTTTGGCCATGCTTTAAACTGTAAAAATTCTTGTCTAGGGGCTGCCTTGCTTCTGTCTTTTCATCTCATGTTCAAATTATGTTTGTATTGTATAGTTATAAGCCATTTCATGCACCAAAATCCATGTTTCAGGGCTCATTCCATGCATCGGGTTTCATTTTACCGGGTTTCGGGGCTGTTTTGCATCTCATTTTACCTCTGATTTTTGCATTATAGTGTGCCATATTCCATGTTTTTTCCATGCCTCATTAGGGTGGCATTTCGGTGCCTGAGGGTCGGTCCTCAGTTTGCGTGCACGCATGCACGCATTTCGAGTTGTCTTGTTTTCATCTGATGGCCTCCTGTGTGAGTGTGGCTGAGGCTCTCTCATGTTGGTGTATGCCCATTATTGCATTGCGTATGTCATTTCATCCATAGCATTGTGCATGCTTCGTTGTGTATTACCTCGTGCAGCGTGTATGTCATTCCATAACATTGTGTATGTTAGGATTGTATCTTAGTTGCATTTCATGCATATCATGCATATTGCATCGTGTTTGGGGTAGGAGTTAGCCCGGACATGGGAAACGAGGCACGTTTCGTACTCCGAGTGACGGAACGTGTCTCAATTCCAAGTCACTGACACTCCGGATTATCCATGATGGAGTTAGGTCTTTTTGTGTTTATATGCGCATTCATTCTATATTGAGTTGCACAATTCGACCCCTCGGCCATCGTGCATCGAGATGCGTGATTGGTGGCACGAGGATCGAGGCATGCATACATTTGTGAAAATACATTGCTATGCTCCTTTCCTGCTCTCTGTTGCAGCAAATCAAGAATCAGCGGTCTTCCGAGGCTTGGCCCGTATTTCAAGAACAGGTGCAAACAGAGGCTAATTGGGGCATCGTCATGGATTTCCACGCAAAGGCAACCCGGGCTTGCATCATTCATCATCTGGAATGGAATCAAGGCAGTCCTTGGCTTGCATGCCAGTTTATTTATTTTCTTAGTTAATTTGTTAATTAATTAGGAATTTGTACATATTCGGATTGTAATATTTATTTGGACTGTACTATTCTTTTATTCGGGACTGTATATTTATTTGGACCCTCTGTGAGAGGGCATAATTGCAATAAGTGTGGGTGAGTGTGATGTATGTCTTCCAACCCCACGTCTTTCTTCCCTTTTATTTACCTGCTTATGATGGTTAGATTAGGGCATATTTCAATTAG